ACTATTTTTTTTTCTGTCTACAAATTCTCCAACCTGAGCTTTGGATCTCTCCATCTTCTCCAGACTCATCATCAGTCTCTTGGCTACTTCTCCTTGGATAAGTGTCTCTCTTGTTGAGCCTATCAGCTTATGTGAACATTTAATTAAAATAAAACCGGTTTATTTATATTTATACTAAACCTGTCATTTTAAAACGAAAGTCATTTCAATCAAATTATCCAGAAAGATTTGATAAAGTAAATTTTCCTATAAGGAAGAAACCTCTGCAGAACAAGGCTAAGAGTGAATAGACCACATAAAGAGCAGATGATGGATTAATCAGAGTTCTTTGATACAGTTAAGGTAAAACATTCTAAAAACAAATTTTTCATTTTAACTTTCTTATTATGCGTGACTCTGTTTGTCTATGACATAAATACCTAGTAAAACACATATATTGGCTTCTGTGAGGCACCTGCAGAAGGTATTGCCTTTTAAGCTAACCTGTCGGAGACACTCAGGGTCAGACCAGCATCTACAAAGCTGAGCTCAGCTGTCTTTGGATTCCAAATTAAAATTCAGCCTTCTGAGTTCTGTCCACAATCAGCCTATTCACAACTCTGAGAGGTAAAAAGGGAAAGCAAGCACGCTGCTGCTGAGCCACAGGTGCTGCAAGGTCTCCCAATTACCTAAGAGGACAGGAACGGAGAGATGAGGGCCATGCTGGTAGTCTGAGTTATGAGGCATTGTATTTCAGACAACATCCATCATGCTATCAGTTTGTTCTTACAAGGACTCAGTATGGAAAGATGTGCCATGCTGGCCAAGGCATCTGCTGCCCTGAGTTTTAACTGCTTACCTCTCAATCTATTTCCAGATCCCCAAATGCCTCCGTCTTCTTAAAATAGTCAATATATCAGCTTTGTTTAACTTTCGCTAAAAGGTCCCTGTTTGAAAAGCTAGTTACTTAAAAAGATACTTTCAATTTTACTCATAATTATTATATAACTCATTAGAGGGTATTAAAAAAACTTTTAAAAATTCAAACTAAATCCTCATTGGACCTCAATCCAGCAGGTGTCACTCTAACCTGTAATCTTGAGCCCATACATTAGTGTGGCAGAAATAAATACACCAAACCTGGCACAGGTCAGTGTGCAACAGTGAGAGGAGGGGTCAGTTCTTCACTTGTTCAGCCACTACCCGGCTTTTACTGCTCAAGAGTTCATCAGAGGGTCACCCTGCATAGCAGACGAGTGTGAAACCCGGTCTCACAGCCCCTCTCAGGGACAAGAAATGTTTTCCCTCATTGCTAAAAAAATTATTCTGTTTATCTTCCTACCCAAGCATTTAGACATTTTTTTTCTCCAAGATAACAATCTGTAAGGCTGTTTGACTGCTTCAGCATGGGAGACTGCAAGGGCATTCATCGTCAAGTACGTGGAAGAGGGGAGGCCTTCTTTCTGTGAAAACAAGAGGTGGTTTTTGATTTCCCAGGGCATGCACAGTTTGTGCTGTACACAAAGTTAGACAGGAAAGTGGTGCATAAGCCTTGAAGCACTTGACAAACCACCGACACAGCGTTCCAAGGACACAACCTTTATTTTGTTTTGCTGCGGATTGGAGTTGAAAGTGTGGGCGTAATTTGCTTTTTGTCTTCGGACCTCAACTTCCCTGAACCGTGCCATGTTTAATCTTAAGGGGACCGCCTGCTTTCACAAATGATGGCAATACGTAGTGTAATAATTTATCCACACAGACATAATGCATACAGCACACTAATCTCCATTTATGTTGATAGCCGGTTACATAACCTCTGCAGCAACTTCACAAACAGACAAGAATTTACATGTTCTGGACACAGATTTTTTTTTTTTTCATGTCTCTCCACATGCATGTGTGCACGCAGAGCAACTCTGCTAAAGGGGAATAATAACACCACTTTTAGCAGTGGAGCAAGTTGGATTAAAAGCCCTCATAGAATGTGCAGCTTCTAGCTAGCAGAGGAAAAGTGCTTCTTCTAAGGTGGTTAATGCTCATCCCACAATAAAGGAGCTGAAACCTGGTGTTTCTCTTGAAGGTGCACAATAAACAGCAAGGAAAGCATTCACAAATAAGGCTTCCCTTAGTACTTCAAAATGAGTTCAAAGAAAGAAAGAAAACAAGAGAAAAAAATAGCTGATTTTTAATGCCTTATTACATTAACCTAATTCAGAACCTAAAAGAAGCATTGATGCAAGTTTTGCTCTTTTTGTACAGACTCGACTGTACTTGATTAGAAACATCAGACTCGGACCCCATGTTCTACTTTAATAAGCCATTTATACAAGAACCATACTTTATGGAAACAGAATTTTAACTGTAGGTCTTTCAACTACTATCTGGCAGCAAATAATTAAATATTTTCTATATTAGATTTAGGGATTCCTGCAATACAAAAATTTAAAACTAGCAGTAATCTCACAGTAACCCAGTGTCAATTATTTATATTGCAGTGTTCTTTTTTCCTGTTTCAGGTCAAGTAGGATTAACAAAACATATTCTATTTATTAAAAAACATGAATGAACCCGGAGACACAAGGTTAATCATGAGGAATTGTTATCTCTACAAGAAACTAAACTATATAAAGGCTGAGAATCCTCTGAGTGGCTCATATAGGTTGATAAAAAAAGGCAAATAATGATTAGTTGCTGCTGTTAAAATCCCCCAGCAAATAAAGACAGGTGTGCAACCTGCCACAGCTCGGCCACACCCCCCCCCCATCGGATTGTTTGGGAAGAGGAACCTCACACCCAGACCACACCCATTAAAAGAATGAAAATTGTGTCATTTTTGTCAAACATTTAGGCCTCCTTCCATAATATTCACCTCCCAAAAGAACCAATAGGATTTCTACAAACCCATATGTCTGTTGTCATTTTTTTCATGATGATGTTGTGTTTTATTAGAGTGTGGGGATGATGTTGTTCTTGTATGGGTCTTATCTAGTTTTAAGTTGGGGCACCATTGAGATTCTGGTGGTACATAGATAATGTATAATTTTGCACAGTGTCTTCAACCAGAGGCTTCTTCAGATCTGCTATCAAAAAAGGCCGCTACAGGAGACCCTTCCCGCCTGCACCCATTGGCATCTACAACATTTTGAAGAATCATATGAGTAACAACACCATCAAAATTTCTGAATAACACTAAATAGTTTGCATTGATACTATTTACAATACAAGCAAATAACATTTCTTTTTACCCTAAAAGGCTAGGGACAGTGCTCATATCTGCCAATGATTTTATGAGGTGCAAAACTTTCTGCAACTTCACTATTTCTACAGCAGAGGACCAGCAAGAAAACTCATTTTCACCGAATACCAAAAGTCAGTTTCCAGTAATTAATGCTGACAACAACACTCTGTGACATGAAAAGCTGTTATTAAGACAGGAAGACTCAGCTGTTTTTAAATTAGTAAGATGTTTGAAAATAAAGGCAAAGGAAATATAAAGGGTGTATAAAGCTTCCCATACTGCAAATGTAGAACTGATCTTATCTCACACAGTGTGACATCCCCTCTGTTTCTAAATAATTAATGATACACCATTGCGAAAAGGCTTCTTAAGAATTTTTATAAAACCAATAAATTATTTATTTTCCAATACAAATAAAAACAGTTAGGGTCCTTTTTCTGATCAAAATATTTCAAATAGTGTTATTTATTTTTTAAAGGTTTAGAATCTTATGATGCCAAACTTTGACATTTGAAGGTGTGCAAAATAAAAAAAAGATAAGATATACTATAATTCCTTTAAGTTGATTTTTTGATATTTGTACTGATACCTCCGTCCCAAAGCCTAAGGAATTTTAGAGATGTGCTGCTTTCAAGAAATAATTGAGTGATTTTATCAGAGATATTTCAACTTGTTCAACAAGAAGGAAAATATCTATTTGTTGTTATCAATAATAATGAAATTAAAACTGGCTAAAATAGATACAGTATCGGAACTCTACATAATCAGTGATCAGAGAATAGCTATAAAATCTATTTGTCTTTTAATAGGGAGTTAACAGGTTCTAAACTCCAACAACAATTAAATGCACTATAAGTAATACATGTTGCACACATCATAACAAGCAAGGATGGTTTAAAAGGTGCATTACCCAAACTGTGGGCTTCCTTTTCTTAACAGAGCTAAATTCTCAGGCCATCTTGTTTATTTCTCATGTTCTAACCATTTAAAAGTTGTCTGACCTCCCAGTAAGAGACCAAGCTCGCTTCTTTGCCAACTTGTTTTTGTTGTTTGTCAGGCCCAGAGCTTAGGCTATGTCACTGTGCTGCATTTTCATCATAGCCATGACATTAGTCATGTTTTAAAATGTGCACTACATTACAAAGGATGATCATGCTTAAGAGCTGAATAAACTGGTCCTTGTCATGGTTTTAAGGTGTTTGGCCCACATGCAGACACAGTCAGAGAACAAGAAGCAGTTAAAGAGGTTTGTTTAGGCTATACACAGATATGAATAGCTCACTACGTGAGCTGCAGGCGAGGTTCGGAAAATCAGAGTTAGGAGTAGGGATGGGAATCGAAAACCGATACCTGTTCAGAACTGGTTATGTGTGCTCCAATTCCATGGCACCGTTTGGCAGCTCGCCTAATCATTCTCTTAACGGTTCCAGGCAGCACCAAAGCCTAGCGCTGGGCGGCACGACTTATGTTACGCTTGTCACAATTACATCCGTGGAAGGAAATACATCGAACATGCAGAAACACCTGTGCACACAACATGGCATACATTTTAACGAATGCTGTGCTTTTGATGCTTCCGGACAGAAGCTAAAGTTACGACCAGCATGGAAGGCAACTCTAGCGGTAAGAGGCTAGTTTTATATCACTGGCTGTGTTTAATGTGGTTCCTAGTAAATAATATGCCATTTCTGGAAATAAACCCATTTCCTACTTCTCTTTGGGGTTATTAAACGTGCTACGAAGTTGCTCCGCAGTTTAGGGAGCGAGAGAAAGGTGACGCTTGTTTATTTAAATCAGGGGGAGATTCGATTACAGTTTATTTCCCGAAATTGTACATTAAACTGAGGCCTTCTCAATTAGATTTTGATGACTGTGACAAGACGGGTTGCCTGGCTGGCTCAGAGGCTGGCAGCTCCCGTTCACTGGCTTCTGTTTTCACAGAGGCAGGCAGAAATAGAATGTCCCAGGCGAAGGTAGATGAATGTCACTGTGCACTTACCAAGTTCATTGTTTCACAGAATCAATAAGGGAATCAAAATCGTGAAAATGTTATCAATTCCCAACTCTAGGTAGGAGCACTGCGGGAGGAAAGAGGAAACTGATTAACACTAGTAGAGTTAGGGAGATCTGCCCTGATGCCCCTTCGCTTACCTTCAGAAAGAAGGGATTCTGCGACTCACTGCTTTCCGATGGGAGGAGATGGCTGAGCGACAGGTGAGCTAGCCAATGGTACATAAGCGGGAGCCCGAGCAGCACCAAAGCGGAGACAGGTTTGAAAGGCAGCTGAAGGAACGAGAGTGAATCCAGGAAAGGGGGGTCTCTTGTCTGGCTCAGTAACATCAAGGGGGCTTGAGGGGAACGCCAGAGCAGAATCTGGGCATCTAGGATTCAGGAACCAGTCCTCAGCGCACGGAGGGGGGAGAAATCCAGAGCACGATGAACTGAGAGAGACAGGAGAATAGAGTTAGAACTAGGAAACGAAACGTTTAACTCACAGGAACAAAAAACTGTTGACTGGAGGGTGGTCTAGTTGTACCACAACCGGCATAACACTCTGGCATCCTTCAGCTGACTGAAAACTCCTTTTAAGCTCCAGCAGAGCAGCCCCAACAATCCGCAGGTGCGGGGCCACGCCCACCCGTCAACAACAGCCCACTGTGGAAAAGAATCAGCAGAGCACAGAACATAGAATCCTGACACTTGTCAACACTTTCGTTAATCTAAGTCTCTATAATCCAAACACCCGTAACCAAGACAGATGACAAGCTCTGGCTAAGACCACTTTAACCAGTTTCTTCCCAAAAAATTTTGTGCACAAAGAGCACAAAAAAGAGGAAGCCTTTAAAGCAGACAAAACTATTGGTTTTGACAAAAAATTAACAAATCACTCACATCCGCCAGATTGAAGATTATACACGGCTGCTGGCATCTGGGTGAAAGCAAAACAAATGCATGTGATGAAAAAAAGTTTAAAATTATATGATTGGGGGAGCAGAAAGACCTGTTTATATTTGATGTGTCAACATATTGATAGATGCATTGATAGATGGATAGATGCAATATGATAGATGTGCAGACAACATCTAAAGATTTAGCTACTACAAAGCAAATGTATTGAAGCAAGCTTTCAACTATGTTTTCCTCTCTCTATCTTGAAATCCTGAAAATAAAGGCAACTGGTACACACAATGCTGACCCCTTCAACTGTGACGAAGGCATTGCAGTCCTCAGTAACATCATATCAATGATAAACCCACCAAGAACACCCAGAAACTGCAGCAGGCTGAGCTCCGGCAGGAACAAGCAGCACTAAAACTTACAGAGAGGCAGAAAACAGGACGTTGCAACACAGAAGGAACACTCTGATAAATACATTGCCTCACAATCAAGAAAAAAAACCCTGAAACATTGAGAATGTGGTGCAGTTCATTTTATAAGGCATGACAAATTGTTCAGCTGCAGAACACTAACTGCACTCACTGGTGTGTGCGAAGCATACAGGAAAATCATTTACAGCTTCGGGTTGTAATTTAGGCTGCCTTGTTTGTTGTTGAAGAAATTCTGTAGCTCAATCAAAAAGGTACTCAGTGCCAGAATTGTCGTTGTGCGGATCTGAATTCTGTTTACTCTGCTGAAACGCCTGCTAAACCACCAGTTCTCACAGGCAGGAAAACATCACGCTCACTCGAATGAACAAAAACCACAGCACTGCTTCTGTACAATAACTGGAACAACCGTCATTCATATAACAGCTCAAATAGGCATCTTTCTTTTATACTGTTTTCATTTCTGCTCTGGTGCTCTTACGAGATTTATGTGATAATGTGATGGTTGAATTAAGGTTGGAATAAATCATAAAGTCAAACTCTCATTATAGGATTTATCAAATGTTGCTAAAACTGCAGTTAACCAACTGTGTTTAAGTATCACACTGTGATATATTAGAAATGCTGGATTTAAAGCTTTATTGTTTGTAATTTGGTATTTCATAACCCATTTAGACATGGACTGATCAAGTTTGGACTTGCTTACAGTACACTGATTTCTAGTTTGACTTGCTGATTTTGATTTCTGTTCTAGGGGCAATGCATGGGATTAGTAATTGCCATAATATAATAACCTTTATCCCAAAGACATAGGGGTATAAGAGTACACATATCCGTACTATAAGATATCCAGTACAGCCCTGTCTGTTTGAGACACATGGGTACAGAATGCATACAGCACTGTTATATCAATGAAAATGGTAATATTCACGGATGGGATGGATTGGCCCCTTGAAGATATTCTAATTCGTTAACTTTTATCCATCAGGTATTACTTGGAATACTTCCAGGCTACATCTCTTCTGTAGTTACAGAGAAATGTCAACTTGTGTACCTTTTGCTCACACATTACGCTGCTTCTTTCTGTCCCTCTTTGCTCAAACTAATTTGGGTATGAAAGCCTTTGTTTACTCAGCTCCCTCCTTCTGGACCTTGGTTTAGAAAACTTTCAAATTAAATCAACTTATCCCACTGAGTGCTTTTACTTTCAAACTAAAAGCTCTTGAGGCTGATTAAATATGTACATGTTTTTCTGTCATGCTTCAGGGACAGATTGACATTAGCACTGAGCAGTTGCCAAAGCTTGGTGGGTTTATTTGGGGTTTCTACCAAGACTACCAGACAGGGGTTGGACCAGAGCACAATAGCTGGGACAATCCAGGTAATCATGGTCAGACAAGCAGAAGGTCAAAGCCGGACAGAAGCCAGAAGCCAGAAGATCAGAGATCCGAAGAGGTACCGAAGGAAAATCAGGTCAGTTTCAGGAAGCAGTTCCAGGTTCAGTAAACAGGCACAATCCGAAGGCAGAACATGCGAACAGATCAGAATCGGAACAGGCAGGCTCAAAGGTCCAAAGGTAGAACGGTTCAGGATCAGGCAATCAGAAAACATAACATCCCCTAGAAAAAACTTAGCAAGGGCTCGAATAATCTGGCACTGATGCCTGGAAGAAGGCAGTTAAAATAGAGACTAGAACAAGTGACACAGAAAAGCGGGAATGAGAAACTGGGTGGAGCTAGGCAGGTGAATAGAAATAGCATTCAGCAGCACCATGATCATGACAGAACCGCACTGATAAATTAATTACCTTTTTTATTTATTGTTGCAATCGTGTAGACATACTGTCTATAACAGATGGTTTCCTACATGTTCCTGCCCTGTTCTGCTTAACAAAAAGAACACCTCTAGACAATATCCTAATTGTGTGATTGGCTGTATTGATTGTAGATTCAATCCAGTACCAAAATAGGCAGGCCACATTAATAATATAGTAACCTGTGTTAACCAATTGGAGTTTGTGTGTCCGTGTGGCTTGTATGTGAGTCCCACTTTGTCACCTGGGGGTGTGCATTTGTAAGTGAGAACAGTAGAAAACCAGCACTCAACAGCACCTAAGAGCAGAAAAGGGCTACACCAGTCCTAGACAGCCAAAGATACAGAAAAGTATCACCCCAGGGCAGCCATACGCCCAGCACAGAAGTAGGTCGCAACCAAGGAACAGGAGCTGCAGCCTTTAGGCCATAGGGGCAGAGAGAGGGAGAAAAGGACTGAGTTATTGGTCGTCTGTGAAGTCTACACTCTGGGACGTGGCCTGGGCACCCACCTCCCTAAAGTGCCCCCTCAGCCCCATGGCCTTCATTGCATCCCCAGTATACTTATAATACTTTGTTTGATTTTTACATTTTTTTTTCGGTTTATGGAAACAATATAAAATAAATATTTCAAAAAATTTCAATTTGTCAAATGGTGTGAAGTTGGTTTGAAATCAACAGTTAGATATTAAAACAGTGATCAAAGAAAACGGCTTTAAAGGAAATTCTTAAAATCAACACCATTGATCACATCCCTGACCATATACGTTTTATCTGATTCATATATTGATTTCTACAGACTTCTCAAATTTTTTTAAATCATTCTAAAAAATAAAAAAATGTAATTTTTAAATTTAGCTACTTTTCAGAGATAAACAAGAGAACACAGAGGATTTGGTTCATTGCCAGTAATTTCATTGTGTCTACATTCTCAGCAGTGATTATCTTTGCAAAGCAACATCTGAACAAACACAAAAGCTCAATAATACTGTTCACAAAAACTTTCACAATAAAAGTATGTCTGTATCATTCAGAAATCTACATGAGTCCATAGAGGAAATAAATGTTATATTCTTTATATGGGTCGTTCTGTCAGCTAAAGGCATGTTTTACAGTCTGTTCCATACTGTTAGTAATCGATAACTAAATCAGTTGATGATTATTTCAATAATCGAATAACAACGATTGATCTGATTAATTGTTTCAGCACTAATCGAAGCATTATATTCCAGATGGATTATGAGGACAATCAGAGACGACTGGCATCCAG